CGATTGGCACAGGACAGAGCGGAGTTTAGGGCTGTTGTACATAGGGTCGCTATGAGTCGCAGGCGACTCGACGGCACATAACAACAACAACAACTGTGCATCTGGAAGTTAGACCATGAGTAAGGATGACAGTAGAAGAATGTATGTCCTTGAATTGTAGGATTGGTGAAGAATATTGACTAGCTTATGAATTGCAAAAAGAACAAATGCGTCTTAAAGTGCAACCACAGTGCTCCTTAGAGGCAAGAATGGTGAAACTTTGTCTCACTTATTCTGGGCGGACTTTTAAGAGGAACCTGTCCTTGGAGAGAGACATCCTGCTAGGAAAGGTAGAAGGTCAATTAAAGAAAGGAAGAACTTCAATGAGATGGATTGACACAGTGATGCCACAATGTTTATGAACATGACAGAGATTGTAAACATGGTTCAGGATTGGGCAAGCTTCAGATCTGTTGTTCATAGGGTCACTCTGACTTGATGACACCCAACAACTTGAAAAATGGCGAGAGCAGTATTATATACACAGAGAATCGCTGGATAGACAGGCTGGATTTACAAGAGATTGTGGCACCAGGCATATAATTTACATTGCTGATATCAGATGGTACTTGGCTGAAAGCAAAGAATACCAAAAGGATGTCTATTTGTGTTTTATTCACTGTGCAGTGCCTTTTGACTATGTGGATCAGACCACCTGTGGCTAACATTCGCAAGAATGGGGATCCTTCAACACTTAATTATGCTCATAAGAAATCTATAACCTAGACCAAGAAGCTGTTGTTCTAACAGCAAGGGAATACTGCATATTTTATAATCAGGAAAGGTGTATGTCAAGATTGTATCCTTTCTGCATGCCTGTTCAATCTTTATGCTGAGAAAATAATTTGAAAAAGTTGGACTCTATGAAGAAGAATGTGGAGTCAGGATCAGAGGAAGATTTATCAACAGCCTGCATTACACAGATGGCACACGCTTGCTTGCCAAAAGTGATATAGCAAACTTAACAGCTTCCTGTGTACAACACTTGAGTCTCCTGTTTCTTTTTTTATTTTTATTAATTTTTATGAACATTTACAAAGATTTGGGGTTTTCATTCATTCATTGTTGCACTATTTTCTCTAACCCTCCTCCCCAATTCGTTCTTTTCTTTTTCCCCCACTTGAAAGTCTGTTTTAATTATCCAGTTGCCACAGTGCTTGTCAAAGCCAGTTCTGATTAATCTCCTTTGTCAGTGTGTCCTTTGCCATTCCCTATCTCTCCTCCCTGAGAGAGACGTCACCCTGATTCATAAGGAAAAGGGGGCGGCGTATTCTCTTAGCTACTTCCTGCTGAGTCTCCTTTTCTTGTGTACACAGCCTTTGCACTGCTTAGTGTTTAATCACCCCACACATAGAAGCCATAATGAGTATGTCCTGATAGTCCTAATATGCACCTGTACTTCTTATGTATGGTATTGTACTGTTTTAATAATGAGAGCTTTCCCTGCTTACTAATAAAATGTTTAGCTCCTAACAGTATGTACTTCAACTTGTAGGCAACAGCATCTACTCTTGTGTTGAATATTATAGTCTCTCTCTATTTATTTTACTTTTGACAGTTTTCCTTGACATACACCTTGGCTCCAAAACCAGGGTTAGTGATCTCAGCAGTCAGGGTTAAAGGAGAGGTGAGATAATGAAGCAAAGCGTATCAAGCAGCACAAAGGCGGAAAGTCAGAGGATGCTGTTGCCTGTAATTTAGGCATGTTGGCACGCTGTCCACACTACACAGTGTCCTATTTCACAGAACAAATCGACAGGGTCAGGTGATACACGACGGTACTGAGAAATCAAAATCAGTTCTTAGCCTCTCTTGTTTATATTGTTATTTGAGTGAAAGTTTACAAGGCTTGTTGGGTTTCCCCCTATTTATTCATGAACGTTTTGTTCTGTAGCATTAATTAAAACACATTGCATACCCATCCATTCATTCCATATTGGCCTTCCCTCACCCATGTTAACAAATGTTCATTGTCAATTAATTTTTACCTTCTTTTTCCTGGTAACCATATTAGAGAAACTCCTTTTTAGCTTTTTGTAACAGTGGTCTCCTGTAGTATTTGTCCGTTTGTGACTGACTGCTTCACTTCATGAAATGTTCTCTAGTCTCATTCCTGCTGTGTCAGTCTTAAAGGAGACGAAGGCCCTCAGTGACATCACTTAACACAGGGACTAGAGTGGTGATCTTAGCTCGTGTCACCATGATTGTGAGGATGGTATAGGCTCGGGCACGGTTCCTTCTGTTCTGTGTGGGGTCCCTGCACGTCAGATAATGCTCATGGCACCTAACAACAAGCAGTTCTTTAAAAATGTGCAACAAGGAAAGAATTTATTTAAAGAGAAAAGCGGGTATGGGTAGAATCTTTTTTAAAGAGATGGGGTAGGGAAAAAAATGTGCAGCAATAAGTGAATGGAAATCCAGGTTTTCTGTAAACTTATGTTAAAATATCAATTAAAAAGTAAAATTTGACTGTGGTAAAATGTATATGTAACAAGAAATTTGCCACAGTACCACTTTAAGGGTATAATTTAGAAACATGCATTATATTCACAATATTATACAACCATTATCACTATTTCCAGAACCTTCTCATCACTCCAAACAAAAACTCAATACTAAAAGTATTAAAAGCAATAATTCACGTCCTCTGTTTCCATGTTGTTGTTGCTGTTATGTCCCGTTGAGTCGCTTGCGACTCTTAGCAACCCTATGTACAACAGCCCTAAACTGTGCTCTGTCCTGTGCCAGTCGCACTGTCTCTGACACGCCCATCCCGATTACCATAGTCACTGAATCAATCTACCTCATAGAGGGTCTTCCCCTCCTGCGCCGTCCCTCCACCCTCCCAAGCATGATGCCCCTCTCCAAGGACCGGTCTCTCCTTACAACATGTCCAAAGTATGTTAGATGGAGCCTCAGAATCCTTGCCTCCAAGGAGCCACCCGGTTTAACCCTCTCCAGGACAAATCTGTTTGTTTTCCTAGCAGGCCATGGTACTCTCAATACTCTTCTCCAGCACCACAGCTCAAAGGCATCAATTTTCCTTCTATTCTCCTTGGTCATTGTCCAGCTCTGATGCATAACAAGTGATTGCAAAGACTATGGCCTGTGTCAGATGCACCTTAGTCTTCAGAGAGACACCATTGCTCTTCAGTACTTTGGAAAGGTCCTTAACAGCAGACTTTCCCATGGCAATACGCCTTTTAATTTCCTGGCTACTGGTGCCAAGAGTGTTGACTGTGGAGCCAAGCAAACTAAAGCTGTGAACAATCTCAGTCTCTTCACCATCCATCCTGATGCTGCCAATTGGCCCAGTGGTGAGAATCTTTGTCTTCTTGACATTGAGCCTTGATCCATATTGGAGGCTGCAGTCCTTGACCCTCTGCAGCAGGTGCTTCAGGTCCTCCTCAGTTTCAGCAAGCAGGGTTGTGTCATCTGCATAATGCAGATTGTTGATAGATCGTCCACCAATCCTGACCCCACATTTCTTCTCATAGAGCCCAGCCTCCCAGATAATCTGTTCTGCAAACAGGTTGAAAAGGTATGGAGATAGGATGCATCCCTGTCGTACGCCCTTCCCAATTTTGAACCATGCAGTGTTCCCTTGCTCTGTTCTGACGACTGCCTCCTGGTCCAAGTATAGGTTTCGCATTAGCACGATCAAGTGTTCTGAGATTCCCATTCTTCTCAGAGTCAGCCATAGTTTGTTATGATCCACACAGTCAAATGCCTTTGCATAATCAATGAAGCACAGATATACATTCCTCTCATATTCCCTGTTCCCATAGCCTCTGCTAACCTTTGCTTTCTAGTTCTTGAAATTTACTATACCTCATATAAATGGAATCAATATAATACAGTGCAACATACTAATGAAATCATTTCCATTTTTCCACAGAGTTTTATTTCTTCAGCAAGTCTGATGTCAAGAACTTGGAAGTTCCCTCCTCGGTCAGCTGGTGTCCTACTCACAGGTCAGCCGTCTCCTGACCAAACACAGAAGAGCTCCAGCTCCTCAGCTCTTTCCGATTGCGTGATTCCATGGCACCTTCAGGAGACCATAGCTGCACGGGGAATGGAGCGGGAAAGAAAACTTTTCCTGGAAGACAATATCAGTGAAAAAGAAAACAGGGAAAGCATTCATCTCAAAAGAAAACGTGCTACATCTGATAATTTATCGGAGAAAACAAGGAATTATATGGTGGCAGAAGAAGATGAGGAGGTTGAAACCTACCTAAATTTTGGGAACACAAGTAAATTTAAAAACCATTTTTGTGACATTAGAAATTTAGAAGATTGGGAGAAACAGCAGCTGATTGAAATGCTCCAGCAGGCGGCCACCCTGGTGGTGACTCTGATGTATAAGGATGGCTCAACCCAGTTAAGACCTGATCAGGTTAGCAAACAGTATGGGTTGGCTTTGATTTTGTTTTCTGGGGCAAGGAAAAGCCTGAGAGAAGTGTGTTTTCAGATGTTTGGTCTAGAGAGAGCTAGCAATAAAGTCCAAGTCCCTTTCCCCTCTCCATTGGTGACTGGTGGTATCACAGAAGCTAGTGAATGCTTTGACAGGAGTAAGAAAGAATGCTTGTAATCTCATTTTCTAGACTTTAACATACAGATTCTATACATATTTTGTTGAATTATACCTAAGTTTTTCCTCACATTTTTGCTACTGTTCTCAAGAAAGCTGATCTAACAGAATGTGGAAACTGTCGAACAATATAGTTAATATCACAGGCAAACAAAATACTACAGAAGATCATTAAAAAACTTTTAGAACAGTACATAGATAGAGAACTGCCAGAAGTTCACGCAGGATTTAGTAGAGGCTGTGGAACCAGGGATATCATTGCTGATGTTAGATAGATCCTGGCTAAAATGGAATATCAGAAGAATGTCCATTTATGCTTTATTGACAATGCAAAGACATCTCACTGTGTGGATCATGACAAGTTATGGTTAACATTGAGAATAGGAATCCCAGAGCACTTGCCTCACATAACTTTAGGCATGTTGCTAACGGGATATTCCTCGGAGAGGGATGTGGTTCTTGGAAAAAGAGAGAAAACCCTTGACGAGGAGGATTGACATGGTGACTACTGCAATGGGCTCTATTGTGTCAGGAAGTGTGAAGATGGCACAGGACAGGACGGGGTTCAGAGCTGTTGTTCACAGGTCGCCATGGATCATACATGACGGCGCCCAATAACAACATTTTCTTACAACTGGATCTGTAAGCAACATCATAATACATGGAGAAGAAAATGGAAATGTCAAGAATTTAATTTTATTTGGTTCAGCAGTCAACACTCACAGAAGCAGTAGTTGAAAATTCAAATTGTGTATCACACATTAGTAAAATCCTGCTGAAGAAGGACATCATACTTGGGGAAGTTGTTGTGTGCTGTCGAATTGGAACAGACTCAAAGCTGACCCTCAGGTATATTTTCTGAGACAATAAACTACATGGGAGAAAATTTCTCTCTTCTTCCGGTGGAGGGTGGTGGATCCGAACGGCATGCCTTCGGGGTTGGCAGCACAACTCCATACACTAGGCCACCGGAGCTTCCTAGGGCAAGAAGAGGGTCAGGTTAACCCTCATTGAGATAGACTGGCGATGGTGTAGGCATGGTCAACCTTGTGCTCTACTGGACTTGAGAAGACAAAGTGTTATAATGGAATATGCAAAGAGCTGGAGCTAGAGAATAAAAAGGGAAGAACTCCCTTTGGAATTTTTCAAATTGAAAGAACAGAAAAACAAATTTGAGCATTGAGTTATAGTGCTGAGAGATGCTATGGACAAAATGTTACAAGATTCAGTAAGCATCAAAAGAAAATGGAAGGAATATGCAGAGTCACTGTGTTAGAAAGAACTGGATGACGTGGAATGATTTCAGGAAGTAGCATATGAATAAGAGCCATTGGTAATAAAAGAAGAATTTCAAGCTGCATTGAAGACATTGCTAAAAATAAGGCCCCAGAAATTGATAGGACACCAACTGACATGCTGCAACAAACAAGATGCAGTCCTAGACGTGCTCACCAGTTTATGCCAGGTAATTTGGAAGAGAGTTGCTTGACTGACTGATTGGAAGAGACCCTCATGTGTTCCCATCTCCAATAAAGGTGATCCAATAGAATGTGGAAATTATCAAACAATACCATTAATATCACATGCAAGCAAAATATTGCTGAATTTCATAAAAATGGCTCAGAATCATAAAAAATTGACAGGGAATTGCCAAAAACTCAAGCTATGTTTGGAAGAGGCCCCATGGCACCAGGGATATCACTGCTGATGTCAGATAGATGTTGGCTGAAGGCAGAGACTACTAGAAGTGTAACTTTGTGTTTTGTTGACTATACAAAGGCATTTGACTCTGTGGATCATAACAAACTGTGGCTAACATGGAGAAGGGTGGGAATCCTAGAATGCTTGATTATGCTCAAATAAAACCTATACTTAGAAACTGTTTTCAGAGCAGAGTAAGGGAACATTACATCGTTCAAAATCAAGAAAGGTGTGTGTACGAGGGCTGTATCCTTTCTCCAGACCTATTAATTCTCTACACTGAGCAAATAATTTGAGAAGCTAGACTCTATGTCGAATAATGTGGGATCAGCATCAGACTTACCAATACCCTGTGTTATGCAGATGACCCAACCTTGCTTCAAGTGAGAGGACTTGAAACACTTGCTGCAGGGACCACAGCCTTCAATATGAATTGTCTTAACATCCACTTCCAAAATGGCTTGCCTCCGGAAACTCTATGCACGAACAGTGCTCAGGCTGTTCGTTCATAGGGTCGCTATGAGTCGTCTACGACTCGACGGCATTAAACAACAACAACATAACATCAAGAAGACAAAAATTCTGACCACTGGACCAAAGCTACATCGTGATTTTGCATGCCATCAAGTTGGAACCCATAGCTGACCCTCCAACTGGCTTTGAGAGGCAGAATTAATCGCATGAGAGGAAATTGCCCATCCTTCTCCCACGGAGCAGCTGGTGGATTTGAACCTCCTGCCTTGGGATTGCAGTGCAGTTTCTTGACAGTAGGCCACCAGAGATAGATGAATAAAATATTGAAGTCACAAACAAATTCATCTGACTTGGATCCACAATCAACACCAGCAGTCCGATCAGGAGACATATAGCACTGGGAAAGTCTGCTGTCAGCGACCTCTCCAGTTTACTGAGGAACAATGATGTCACTTCGAAGACTGAGGTGCACCTGATTCAGAGCGTGGTCTTTTTAGTCACATGCTTTGCATCTAAAAGGATGTACAGTGACTAAGGATGACTGAAGAAGAATTGATGACTTTGAATTGTGGCATTAGAGAAGAGTCCTGAATATTCTACGGACTGACTAAAGAACAAACATATGCTTTGGAAAAAGTGCAGCCAGAGTAGAGTGCTCTTGGAGGCAAAGATGGTCAAGATTCATCTCATACTTTGGAAATTTTGGTGGGAGAGGCTAGTCCTTTGAAGGAGACACATCATGCTTGGAAAGGTGGAGGCTCAACGAAAGGTAACAAGACCCATGACCAGGATGATTGACACAGTGACTGCAGCAATGGACTTGAGTGTGTCAGAGATGCTGATGGCACAGGATAGGGCAGTGTTCAGATCTGTTGTCTACACAGTCTACATAGTCTACACAGCACCTAACAACAGCAATCAAGGTCATTATGAATCGCAGCCAAACCGACACCACCTCCCAACAACGTTTTGAAGTTAATGTACATATTTTTAAAAGATTGGATTGCCACATGTTCATTGCTAATATATAAACATGATTAATTTTGTGTTTGATCTTATATACTGGACCTTTTCCATACTCACATATTAGTTGTAAGAAGTCTTTCTTTAGTTCATTTTTTGTAGATTACATTGGATTTTATATGTAGATATTCATATCAAACACAAATAATGTAATTCTTCTTTTTCAGTTATATACCTTTCTTTTTCTTGCCTTATTGGTTTGGCTAAGGCCTCCATTATGATAATGAGTAGAGAACAGACAACATTTTCATGGATTTGGCTTTAAGCCTTGATTATAATGTTTAAATGATAGTAATTTGAAAGTTTTATTTAGGCCCTTTTTCTTAATTATAAGAAAAATGTCATATCCAAAAATAAAGGCTTTGGGGAGCTCTGGTGGCCTAGTGGCAAGAAGCTGCAACTACAATCCCAGAGGTGCATGGTTCGAATCCACCAGATGCTCTGCCGGGGAAGGAGGGGCAATCTCCTCCTGTACCAGTCAGATCTGATTTGACGGTACACGCACACAAAAATAATAAAATTTTAAAAAACCCCACAAAAATAAAGGCTTTATCTTTTTTCAGTCTTGACCTTCTGTCTTTTGGTGCGTTCACAGGCCATAGTCTCTACTGTTAAAGGAATTGTAATATTACTAAAGAGCCGAGTGGAAGAACACAGTGGTTCTCTGGATGCCTCCGTCTCTGATGGCATTTTTGAGGAGTTTCCTTCGGATGATAGATATATTTACATAAAAATAGAACATTCTTCAATTTGGAGCCAAGAGCAAGATACAAATTTTCAATTTGTCAGGTAAGAGATATTCGTTTGTTCCTTCAAATTCTATAAAGATACCAAAACCCAGCCCCGTTGCTGTCAGACTGGTTCCAGCTCGTCGTGACCCTGTGTACAGCAGAGGATGGCCCCGTGCCCTGTGCCAGCCCCACAGTCAATCCACCTAGCTGAAGGTATTCCTCTTTCTCTCTCATCCTCTACCTTACTGTACCTAATGACCTCCAGTGACTGACCCTTCCTGATTACATTTTCAAAATGTGTGACTCAAAGTCTCAAACCGTCTTGCTGCTAAGGAGTATTCTGGGTGTCCTCTTTCCAAGACAGATCTGTTTGTTCTTCATGGCATTCCATATATTCACTATTCTTTACTACCGCCATAATTCAGATGCATCCGTCTTCTCCACTCTTCCTTATTCATTGTCTGAGTTTTACACGCATACTATAGCTAGAAAGATGTTGTTTTTAGGTACTGTTGAGTCCTGTGTGACCCAGTGACCCTATGAACAACAGATCTGAACCCTGTCCTATGCTGTGCCGTCCTCACAATCTCTGACACCCTCGAAGCCTTGCAGCAGTCACTGTGTCACCCGGTTGAAGCTCTTCCTTTCTTTTGCTGACCCTCTACTCTTCCAAGCATGATGTGCTTCTCCAAGGAATAACCTCTGCTAGCAACATGCCCAAAGTATGTGATATGAAGCTCTGTCATCTTTGTCTACAAGGAGCACTCTGGCTGCACTTTCTCCGAGATGTATTTGTTTGTTCTCTTGGCATTCCGTGGGATACGCAGTACCATTTTCTAATACCACAGTTCAAAGACATTAGTTCTTCTTTTATTAAAAAAATAAATTTTTCAGAATAACTATGAGATACCATCTCACCCCAGTCAGAATAGCAAAATTTAACAGAACAGCAAGCAACAATTGCTGGTGAGGTTGTGGAGAAACTGGAACCCTTATTCACTGTTGGTGGGAGTGTAAAATGGTGCAACCACTGTGGAAGGTGGTAAATTTTCATTGAAATTAATAATAAATTTTTAAAAATGGAAAAAAAAGAATAGAAACTGTCAAAAAATAATTTTTAAATTTTATACTGGTTTACTTACAAAGTTTGTATACATTGTTTTTCACACTGATCTTTCCCATCCTTTCCCCACCCCTTGCTTCACTCATCACCCACCCCCATACCTCACCCCTTCAGTTCTTTTTTTTTTAATTTTTAAATAACTTTATTCTTAATTTTAACAAGCTCCTATTAGAAATGCTTTGGTATAAATACAGTAAAAATATGCTGGTTTTCCCTCCTTCTCTGGATCATGTCAAATAAATGGAAAAGTCAAGCATTATTGTTATCCCCAGTTTTAAAAGAATTTTTCCACAAATAATAACTACTGCTTATTCATACAGTTTGACATAAGTATTTACCATACTTTTTTTTTATCATAGGAAAATGAAACAAAAATATCCAGAAGAGAAATTTGCACACTCCTCTTAGTTTCCTCTCCAAAGGTGTTTAAATACATCCATCTTTCTCGGATGCCTTTTCCTCCCCAGCTTTGCCATTCTTACCCTTAGAGCTGTCGGAATGGCTTCTCAGTCCCATCCGTGTCCAGGGCCTTGAACTTCAAGCTGAGGATGGTGAACAGGGCTGCCTAGACTTAGTCCTGCTCCTTCAAGGAGATGGAATTTTTGTGTGGAGATTTATGGTTTGTGTTCTCGTGAGGACTAACTTCTGATCTCTTTCTAGGGAGTGGTGTTGGTTTGACAGGCTGGTAAACCGGCCTGTGAATCCTATAGGACCATAAGGTGGTTTCTCAGTTTCTCCTTCACCTTCCTCCTCCTCTTCGTCATCAGTCACAAGCATCTCAGCACAAATGATCCCATCCGATCCGGTCTGAAGCTTCTTTCCTGCTTCGTTGTTTTCTGCCTGCAGGTGCCCCATGGAAACATTGTCACTGGTTCTGTCACCCATGTCAGGGAATGAACAATATTATATCTACATCTTCATCCTCTGGGCAAATAGGTGAAGAAGCCTGGGCACTCACTTCTCAAGTCTTCTTTCCCTGGGACTCAGACTTGCCTCTGGAGAGGAGGCATGTTTGTCCTGTATTGCATGCATCTCTTTCCAAGGCGTCATTAACCTCTTCTGTGGAGTGTGGGATCTCTCCTCGACTGTAGACCTGTTGATCGAGGTTGAAGTATTGGATGAGCGAGACTGATATGATTGAAATTGTTGCCCCTGTCCTCTGAAAGTCCACTGTATTTGGTATAGATTAATTTATATTATTGCCCAGTCCATTAGTTTTTTTTAAAATTCATTTTGAAAATGAGATGTTTTATTTGTTGTTATAGTCCATTAGTTTTAATCTTTATTTTTCTCTGAACGCTTGGTCCAGCGGTTACTTTTTCCTCTCTGGGGAGTTGGAGACTTGCAAAATGGGTTGGCTTATACAGGCTCATGATAATCTGTGGGAGATTTAGAGTTTCTCTCTGAGGCTTGTCTTAGAAGTTCCTCTACCTCAACTGGTGCTGAGTCATCAGAGCTTTCACCATATACTGACTTCTGGCGTCATCATAAACTTTTATTCCTGTACCTTTAAAGTCATCTGATGGAAGAGATATTGAAGACAGAACTGTACTTTCTCCAGTCTTCAATTCTTTTTCAACTTTAATTTCCATGGTATACAGCTATTTTGTTCACCATCTTCTATTCCTTCATTTCTGTCTTTCCTTAACCTGAAGGGATTTTGGAAGGTCAGGGATATTGGCATAGATATTTTCAGTTGACTCTCTTGATGTTTCTTCTTATCCCACCTTCACAGACCTTATTATATCTTCTGCTGACTTCTCAATTGATTTTAATTTCTTTAAAATTACCTTGTAATAATTAATTAGAAATTATTTGCAATTTGCAGTTTAGCCTCTTCAGGACCTTGGGTCTTTTTCTCAAACTTGAGGCTACTTTGTTCTAGAAACTAGATATGATGCTGGTCTTGCTGACTTTGCTTCTTCATCTTTCCTGTTCTTTTCCACTGCTGATTGCATCCAGAAGTCATTTCTCCCTCAAGGTCTTTTTCTTGAGGCTGCCATATTGATTCCGACTTTCAGTGTCTGTCTCTTCAATTCTTAAAAGAATATAGCTTGAAATATGGATTGCATGTCAATGTTAAGAAAAGAAAAATTTTGACACCTCCATATTACAGGCAACATCAGTATAGATGGAGAAAACTTGATCATACTTAGATCCACGGTCAGCACCTGTGGTACCAGCGGTCACAAGATGAGGCATTTTTCACTGGGAAAGTCTGTAGTCATGGACCTCTCCAGATCATTGAGGAGAAATGATGTCAGTTTGAGGCCATGGTCTTTTCAATCACTTGTTATACATCTGAGAGCTGAACAGTGAATAAGGATGACAGAAGAAGAATTGACACCATTGTGTTGTGGTGTTGGAGTATTTGATAGGAAGATGACAGCTATTAATTCCACTTTGATTTAGAGCAACTTTTTGTACAACCAAACCTGGGTTATCCTCCCGGGTTGCTGGTGCGTTTGTGTCTATTGTTGCACCTGTTGTAGATTTTATTTACATGCTTGATTTACCCTAGTTCAAATGTCCCAAACAGGAGTTAATTATTTAAATGTTCAGACATTTTGTGTGGAGATATGTGAAAGAAAATGTATCTAAAAGACAGAAATGATTGGAACTCAAAAAGATTCCTGCATCCTTCCCCAAACTTTTTCAAACACTGGCTTGCTCTCCCTTAAAAACCTCCTGGACTAGAGATTCCATAGCCTGTCTTTGGAACCTGTCTAGAATTTGGTCAACTTCACAATGGAAATTTGAGGAGGAAGGCATTGTTGCTAAGGCTTGAAGACCCTCCAGCATCTCCTGCTTCCTGCTGAAGAACAGTCCACGTTCCTCTGATGACACTTGAGTTTGACATGCGGTGGACTATGTTTTTTGTTTGTTTGTTTTGAGGAAAGAATCTGAAATTAAAGGGGATCCTAGACATTTTCTTTGGTCCCTCTGTCTCAGGGTATTGTTTTTCTTATCAGATTCTGTAAACTGCATCTCCTAAAAACATGTGAACAGCTTCCCTGAACCATGCTCTACCCTGCATCGTCCTTGCCGTCTTTCAGGCCCACTGTCACTGCCACACTGCCGATCCATCTTGTTGAGGGTCTTCTTCTCTTTCTCTGACCTTCCAATTTCCTAGCATGATGTGTTTTTCCAAAGACCTCTCCTGACAGCATGCTCTAAGTGTGTGAGATGAAGTTGCACAGTAGTCTTCCATCCAAGGAGTACCCTGATGGCACTTCCTCCAGGAAAGACACGTGTATTCTTCTGGCATCACACAGGATGGGAAGTACATGTCTCCAGATCAAAAGTCAAAGGCATCGGTTCTCCTTTTATCCTTAGTCATTGTCCAGCTTTCAGACGCAGAAGATGCGATTGAAAACCTCATCCCTTGAACCACGCCCACCTTGGTTTTTAAACTGACATCGACATCCTTAGTCTTTAGAACTTTGGAAGGATTCTTGACACAAGATTTTCTCAGTGCAGTATGCCTTTCCCACCCATTATTTGTAAGCTTCTATAATTTAACTTTTTAAAAAAATACTGCTTTATTTACAGAGTTCATATACATTGTTTTCACACCATATCTTTCCCATTTTCTTTACCCTCCCTCCACCCATCAAATTGTGCAGCTCTGTGATTAACCATCCTCCTCCCAATCTTCACCCCTCTGCTCCCCCCACCCCGGATCCTCATACTCATTCTACAACAATGGTTTTATACAGGGAGCTCTGGTGGCCTAGTGGCAAGACGCTGCACTGCAATCCCAGAGATGCGTGGTTCAAATCCACCAGATGCTCTGCTGGAGAAGGAGGGGGCAATCTCCTCCTGTACCAGTCAGATCTGATTTGACAGTACATGTAAAAATAATACAATAAAAATTGAAAAAAATAATGGTTTTATACAGTATTTGTCCTTGTGGGACTGAGTTAGTTCACTCA